ATCTACATTAAAAGTTGTGTTTAAATATAATTGAAATCCACAAATATTTTTAAATACAGACTAGGTCTCTGCCTGGAGCTGTGTCGAACGGAATGTAAAATGGACCGCTTGATTATTGTCCGTTTACTGGACGTTCAACTGTAAAACGATCATAAAACTTACGTAGGTATGATACTATATGAGCTGCTAGTGTGTTTTTCTCTCTGGGTTTGGAAAAATACCCAAAACATTGCGACCACAAAATAACAACCTTCACGAGTCAGTTGGGATACAACTAAAAAGAATATTTAAATGATTTCCTCTTGGCACACGAAGAGTTAACACAATAGAAATTTGACCCAACATCCGTGGTGCTTATGCCCTTTAACCATAAAGCCATTAATGTGAATGTTGTTTATTTTTCGACGATTCCGTTTATTTTTCTGTTGTTATAAATTTATTTTGCATTTAGTTTTTACCTACCCTCAGGCAGTAACTGTTACAAAGTTCTAAAATTCAATAGGCGTCATTTCACCGTAGTCCTCGGGGTAGAACGGAAAAATGAACTACAAAGAGACACAGGATAACAACGAAAATGAATGGGTGACACAAAAGAAGTTCCAGTATGACGGAAGTTCCTTATAACGAAGATTCTGATATCATTTTTGTGGCGTGCGTTTACGTCCTCGCTGACTCTACTTAAAATAACGCAAAACAGCGTCACAGATCATTACTCTAGTGTCTGGTGTGATGTTTAGTTAAATAAACATAACATTTTCACTTGTACTGATATCCGAACAAGACAATCGTGACAAGGCTTATTTCGTAACTGTCCTTCTTGAGAAGCTGATAGTCGTCCAGATGGTCAAGGCATTCCACGGGTTTTTACAGAATTCGAATGTACATTACGGTGTTCACAGGAGGAACCCTCTACCCCAATGGACCTATCTTGAGATGTATTAGCCCAGTTTGCACGTTCATACATGTTTCTCAACATCCACAGAGGATTCTGTTCCTTAGCCATAAACAGATATCATCGCTCTCTCACAGAGAATCTCTAGCCTTTGTCGGAATATACGTAGGGAAGTTTCGATAATTTTGATGGAAGAGTTTTGAAATCTTTAACTGAATTTTGTTTAGGTATTTTGCTGGATAAAATCAGTCAATTCGTATGTTATTCAAGTACCATAATTGTCGTTCAATAAATATGCGAAGAATAAGGAAAATGCGTTTTAAAATATGGTTTATGTAACGAGAAGCTCAATTTCTTACAGCCACTTGCATCAATGTGTCGCTGTGGAGTTGATAAATAGTTCTCATAGATGGCTGATGATTATAGCTGAAGACGTTTGACTTTCCACTTGCTTAACAAATAGTTATTATATATTCCTAAGCTGTTTACAGAAATTTTAGGTCTACATATGAGAACACTATCCTAAATTATGCCATTGAGTTTACCTCTTAAAATAGATAAATCTGAGAAAAAGTGTTTTTAACAGAGTATATTGCCTGTTATTTACATCGGCGCAATATAGAGGCGTGACTCACGAGAGGGAGTTGTAAAGAATGTTTAGATGTCAGCGCACACATCGAAAATATGTCGTAGGGCGTTATCTGTAGAATAAATTTAGCTGAATTGTATTTGCTGTTGGCTATGAGTGGGAAAATCAAAGTCGCAAAAGATGATCATCTTGTTGGATGTATTTCTTATGTTTGTACATCCAGGTTTGTTATTTCAAGGTATATTCTGCAGATAATGGTAGAAAGTGAACAAAAACAGTTTAATGTAAGAAGGGAGTGTAACTTCATGAGTCTGTAGTTTAAGTCACTTTCCTCTTTCCGATTTGATATATTTTGAAACATTGTGACTGGTCTTTTGAGTTGTAATGCCATGCGGACTTGTAGGTATTTTCCAAAGTTTTCGAGGAATAGACTGCCTCAATCTATAAGATAGCCTTTATACGAGTACGTCTGAATAAGATTTGTAGTGATGGATCTCGTGTTGTTAGCTTGAATATCCAATAGGTTATTCTCGCTTAAACATGTCCGTCATTATCGAACTAAAGCATTATTGTGACTATACACAAATATGCCTACCGTACGTTTCTTGTGCTGTTAAGGAATTAAGCTAACAACATTGTTATCGCACTGTGGTGACCGGTTTTGGAATTTATTGAGAGAATAATACCTGATAAGACTTGCGTCGTATAAACACAGTCCTCGTTTTCACATACATATTTGAGTATTTGCTTCGGTGTTTGGTTACTGGATAATTAACGAAATTAATCACCACCACTGTAGAGCACACATTTTGACGCATATGAACTTTAATGCAAGAGACCGCGTAACAATCACAAGTATGTACTGGAGGATGGTAATAAAAAGGTCTTTGTGTAACGTTTTACAATGTATCTCGAACTGATTCTTATACTAAATCGTAATTCTTACATCGCTGATTTTGAATAAATTTATAAATACAGTCATCTCTGCAATTACGTATGTTTCGTTGACGCGAATTTGCTCCAATGAGATCGATGAATCAGTAAAACCTGTTTGTGAAATGCATACTTTTACACATGCGAGTTTGCTTTTATGCAATTTCATTCCTGGCGCTTTAAACTTTCAAAGGACTAATTTAATCTCTGCGGAGGTACCGGGGTTATTCTTACTACGCGATTTTCTATAGGTCGGCGTCTTACATGAATGCAACTATCGCATAACAGCAGAGATGACTGTACACATCAGTCACATGAAAGAATCGCAGTCAATCGCGGGGACCAACGAATTGCCGATTGTAAGTGTATAAAATATATTTTTTAAATTCCCTTTATTTTATTTACGTTATTTCAGAGCTTTAAATGTAATGCCATTATATTACTCGTCAATGTTTGGGTGCTGGGAACCATTGATTCACATTATAAAAGAGTTTCAATTTACACCGATTCAGTTTATGCCGGTTCGTCCAGGAACGCATCCCCGGCGTAAATCGAGGGCTACCTGTATTTGTAACGGTCAGCGAAGCTCGGAGATATCTTGCGTCAAGCATTCTGCGGAATGTTACGGTTTAATTAGGTGGTAGTTTATTTTTGAGCTCTACTTTTCACCCATTTCTCTCGCCTTATTCTCTTCAGTACCCGCTTTTAAGGCGACCTATGCCGCTTGCTTAGCTGGACAGTGTAATGTCGACTCCCGGTGAGATTTATTCTCCGGCTGGGTGGGTAAGTCCTTAAGCAGAGATTCTCTGGGGTCGTATTACGGGTTTATATGGGAGTCGGAATATACGGATCGTGGTAGTTGAAGGACATAGGTCACAGTCGATGACACACTTCTGGTCGAAGGATGTGCTGGAAGACTGCGTTTGTAGCGGGGTGTCAACCTCGCTGGAGCCCACCCGCAGAGATAATACGCAATATATACACTGATAAACACTGTATTAACTGTATGATCTCGTTATACAACCCAGGTATTCTCCATACCATCATAATTATACACTAGTTTGTGCCTTTAACCTTCATATTAGACCACATGTAACACTTATTTTACTATTAATAACTGGATAATATGATCTTGGGTACAAAGCTCAAAACATTCCCGTCGAGCACTGCGTACGCCGTAAGACGGTGAACATGACTACTGTATGATATTTCAGGTTCTCATGGCAACGAAAATAAAACTGTGGCGTGTAGTCTTGTGGCAATTTATAGACGTTTAAATAAGCACGCCTGAAACGTTGGTCTATTTCTATGAGACTACATGACGCAACATCTCAGCAGGCAGTTACATTCTATGAAACTGTTCATAGTCTAATGAATAACCCAACTTCGTGACGCGTGGTGAGAAAAATTGAGTGAGAAGATGACAGATTTCTGGGATACTGTGCCGTGTATCCTTGTAGTTGACCGAAGTTTCAGAGCGACTCGTTTTCTGATTGTGGACGCAGTAATCACCTATAAAACGTGGCTGGTGCGTTTCCCTGGGTAATTATAATTTTGGGGACATTAGCATTTTTCAACTAAACGAATACGTTTTTTTTTCCTCTGTACCAGTGTTACATTACCAGAGGTATATTAGCATTTTTAAAACAGCGAAGCTTCCAATGCAAGCTTAGTGCTGTATGTAAGTAATCCTTACTTCTGGCCGTCGCGCGGTCTCTGGGGGTTACATGACAGTTTACCTGCAGCCATTTTACCTACGTCCCGTTTCACCCACACCAACTTCATCTGCGTCAACTTGCCTTCTGTAGTTTCACGTACGAGACATTTCTCCTGTTTCGTTTTGCTTATTACATATTAATCTAGTTCAGTTCACATGTGTATTGGTTTTCACCAGCCCGATGGAAAATACTGGCAAGGATATAATGTCAACGATGAGACAGATTCTTTTCCTGGTAGTTCAGTAGAAACTGACTTCATATGGATGTCAGAAATATTTATAGTTCCTTAATGTATTGTGGATTACAAACATAATAGTATGAAATAACACTGCTGTACCATAATAAAATCTTAACCAAATTATTAAGTTAGTAAAAATTAAATGAATCAAATATGATTTTGTGTCTTTATTTTCTTTAATCCTTCAAATTTTGTGCAAAAAATACGAACTATTGCTATCGAAGTAAATAGCTTATATACGTATATAGACGTACTTCATATATGGAAACTTTTGAGCATGGAGTGCAAGGATTCAAGTTTTTCTCGATATGTACTGACAGATAAAATGCAACCATTCAATTTTAACCTGTATAAAATAAAAGTAACATAGTTTCACTCGATGTAATGTAAGTTCTATAAAACAAATAAAAAATTCCGGATATAAAATGCAAGGATTCTGCTTTGTTCGATGGAATATAGGTGAAATAGCTTGTAGATGAAATGAATGTAGTAGTTTTGGAGTAAATTAAATTGCGATAACGTGGTATAAATCTTATTGTACGATTGCAGTGGCTATAAAACATTGTAGGATGCACTTTCATCATGCTAGTTACAGAACCCGAATTACAAATTGCTTTTTGTTTCTTTCAGAAACAGATTTGCGGCTAATGCGCTGTGGGTAAGTCAATATTACATTTTATTCGTAAAAACATTGCAAACAGCATTTTAATTGTATCTGATGGTTATATATATATATACACAGTAGATTACGATTAATTGGGCCATCGGTTAATAGGGGCAGCCATTTATTTGGGACAAGTCTTAAAGAACAAACCTTTTTAACTCTTTACGTGGAACTTCGCATAATTGGATCAGCGCTTAATTGGGCCAAAGTGCTCTAGTCCCGATGTGTCCCAATTAACCGGAATCCACTGTACTATATATATTTGTCTCACGAAGAGGAATTCTGGGACTATTTCCTTTCCTTTCCTTTCTGTGTCATGCAATAGAACACATTAAATAATTCAGTAAACTCGATATTTAAATGTCTTTCTCTTAACCCGGTGTACAGTCTTCCTTCGACTTTCGACACATATTTATGTAATTACTTGTTGTTACACGGACGTATATAGTGAATCTTAATACGAAGTACTATTATTACAATTACAATTCACGTGCTTATTTAAAATTAATACCATATCTGGATGCTATTGCACAAAAGCTCGAGATGTGGCAGCGTTGTTAAATAAACTATAAATAAACCAAATTATTACCTGTTCAGATTTTATACATTTACATGATTACATATTCTTGTATATAGCTAATCTAATGTTATATTTTCCTTTGTCTGTCATTCGTACATTCGCTTAATTTTAAAATAAAAGATCTGTAATATTAATTTTTAATATGGATGCTTGAAATCCCAAAATTTCGGAACATTTCCAGTCCATGTGAAACTAACTCAGTGAATGTAAGTTTTACGATAGAAGTAGACGGGTTGATCTCGAGACCTTCCCTGTACGAAACCTCTCTCTGATGGCTCCAGACATAGCTCGTTGTCCCTATAACCGCTTTATTTATTTCTGGAGTACTGTCGATTCGTTTTCTGCATTGGCCTGCGTTTTATTTAAAGTTTAACTTTAAGGCGCGCCAGTTGAGCGCTAGTTTGATTATTTGGTAAAAACTTGATATAAATACTGTTGCCTTTCCTAAAATCTAGACGCTGGGTACGATCACAATTTTATCTGAAGAACTTGGTTTGTCAGAACCCCATATTCGTACCTTCTGTTTCTTGGAAAGTTTTTGAACGTTCGTTCATGTCCGAAGATTTTCGGAATTACTCACTCTGAGCTTCTTAAGTCTTCTAACGTATGCTCCTTGAAGGAAAATATATTTATGTAGTGACCGACCTAAAGTTTATACACTTTTCGGTAAATTGGTCATGATGACCGTCTCTTCAGCTAGAATATTCTTACGTCTGGAAACATCTTCGTGAGATTTTAATTTCCCACGTAGGTGGCTTGAAGACGGCTTTCTTCTGGGTTATTGCGCCGTGTAGTCTGGGAGGCAATTCATTAATCAGCTAGTTCGGCCCTTAAGTTTTACAGCTTTGTCATTAACCTAATCCTCTGCTATAACCAGATCTCTTAGTATTCTGTGATTGAAGCTACAGAGGTTATTAAATCACCAGATGTAGTCATGACAGGCGATAAAATATCATAATGAGCGAATATAACAACAGTGGGGTCCGCAGTGGCCGCGCGGTCTGGGACCGTGAGTTCGAATCCCACTCAAGCCATGGATGTTTGTCCGTGTCTCTCTGTGTTGTACTGTCCTGTATACAGGTAGAGACCTTGCGACGGGCTGATCCCTCGTCCAAGGAGTCCTACCGAATGTCTATAGATCAAGCCAACGAAAAGTTGGGACTCGCAGTGCTCAGGCACTTGAAGAACGGGTCGTCCAAGTATCCATTATAACAACAGTCTTATGTATATATACGACGTTTAAGGTATGATGAGTCCCTCTTTAACATATGTGACGTATTGAGGCTGTTGATGAAGAACACAACCAACAGACACTAAGGGTTGTTCCGAATACGTTGTTAAACAAAATCCCGGATAGACGGCAACGTGTTGTCGTCCACCTTGGATATTGGTATTGATTATTGGCTGTTGTGAGCACGGTGATGAGCTTCCTGTTTAAAAGAGCGAGGAGTTTCCTGACCAAATAAGCGGAAGTTATGCTGAATTGTCCTTTTGGTTCTTAGCCATCGTATCAGTATAAAACTGTAATGCTTCTCAATATGGATTTCACTTCCGTTATAAGGTGAAAAGGAAGGGCAGAAAGCCCATCTTCTGAGCTTCTCGCCCCCCCCCCTCCAACTTAAGAAAAGCAATTTTATAATTTAGACGATGGCCAGTACAAATAACATTTTAACACAATGTAACGAACCATTGTCAGAAACCTTCAGGTTTTCACCAAACGACAGTTAACTTCTTAAGATGACGTCTTCCCAGTGGAGTTACTTAGTTAAGGCAAAAACATTAAATGTGTTTTATATCTGGAAGTAACCATTTAACAACCAAACGTCGAGCAGGTCTTGCGTAAAATCTCGAACCGGGGGGATGGATGTCGTAACAAGTTGGTGGCTATTCTTTCCAGCCAGTTCAGAAATTTGTGGGATATTAATATAAAATAGGCCTCTACCACTTCCTTTGCCTGTCATCATTCTTTCTTTATAACTTATACAATTTAAAAAGCGTAATTAAATAACAAAAATCAATCAATATTATGACTTCTTTTGTTGCTTTTTCGTGTTTTAAGTTCTGAAAAAATATGTCGGTATGTCATTTTTACTACCACTTAATTAACACTCTGTTGAAACATGTTGCATACAATGTAAACACCTGTGTTTCATTCTACTCGTATGTTATGTAGATTCTGAAGTGCTTAATAATGCTAATGGATGTTCACATTATATTCCGTGCTTTATTACTCTATTGTTAATACGACTTGGTAGCTTTTACGCAATTTTAAAATAATTGAACGAAATAGCAGAATAAGCCAATTATATGCAAGAACAAATTATATTACATCGTATAACCTTGTATGTTCCACAAGAAAGAATGTTTGCTAAGTTTGAAGCAACATGCACCAGAGCGCTGAAACTCAAATTTAAACGAAAATGTTTTATCGTAACCGTCACCAATTTGCGTGCTTCAAGGCCACCGAAGGAACTCAACTCCCCTTTACCTCGCCGCTCCACGTCACAAGGACAGCGTTGCTAGCTCTGCTACGCTTCGAGTTCTGAGCTGTCTTCAAACACCTGGGTTTCGCTTTTCGTGTTTCAACGTTGTGCGGGTTTTTCTGTGACTTTTTGAAGCAAGGAATTTGATGACGGAAACCACAGTGGTTAAGTAGTCTAATATAATGCGTTTCAGAGGTTAAATTCACAAAACATTAATTTTATCAAACACCCGTTAACACAAATTCGCACTGCACTTCCTATTAGAATTTGAAAATAAATTTCACATACTGTGAATGGTTTTCCCTCTTGAAATATTGACTGACCTGAGTAGCTTACACAGCGACGTCTAGACTACTGAAGTGGTTTGTTAATATCATACTTCTTGTTTATTTGTTTGTGACTCTGTTATGAGTAATGTAGAGTTCGCAGGAGACAGTCAAGTAGTCTGAAGAGAGGGCCGCACATAGCGGCTGTTTGCACAACCCTCGATTGCGTCTTGTTTGTACACAGATCGGTTTTGCTAATAATCTGGTTGCCACGCTGTGTGCAATGCTCCAGCCGTCCGTCCTGGGTGGACACCGTGTCGAAGCCAGTACACACGATTCACATGAACAGTCTCCCATAACATCTGTTTCTTCCTCAGGCAACCGCAAATCAGTGGTTCTCTTTATGTATATAATCCTTGCTATAAGTAAAGCGAATTTTAATTCTCTAAGGCTGTTTTACGTTCAGTGATCTGATAGCTAATCTTCAAATCGTACTGCATTTCAGTTCGTCTTCACATTCTCAATTTTTCGCTGGCATTTCCTCTTACTAACACTATTTCCATCATTCTGCTAATATTTGCACTTGATTGACTGTCATTAAATAAAAAAATGTCGGCTATGTATAATATATAATTAAAATTATTACATGATTGATAATGAGGGGGGCAGGACATGTAACTCGCATTGGAGCAATTATAAATGCTTACAAAAGTTTAATCGGAAGACAGGAATGTAAAAAATAATGACTGTCTTCTGGGTTGTTTCGCCGTGTAGTCTGTTGTAAGTTAGGTGATATTAGTAACGAAATGAGTCGCTTACCGTCTAACATCTTGTCCTTTCCACACGTTTTGTATTACATCATAAATCATCGTCGTTTCTGTTGCATTTTTTTCAGACTCGAACCTAGCATTTGCATCTCATTTGTAGAACAAATGTACTTACAATTCGTTCACTCCTGACACGTAGGTTGGACACACAACTTTAGTTAATGGGTGTCTTTATTTGTATGAGACACCCATAAAATCCCCACGAAACGCTGCAATGAAGCGTACAAAAGTTGTTATAGCAAAAGGACTGTTCTGAGACTATGTTTACTTTGTGATAAATAAATTCGAAATAGACAAACAGTACAAATTGTTTAATGTTTAAATAATAGTGTAAGAAAATTCTGCTGCCCCGTTTTAGTGACTTTTCTATTTTGAAACATATTAATTCATAACCATTCCATCAAACAGATTCAGACAATGATACTACTGACATTAAATTTATACTCTAATATGTTGATGAGCCGGGATAGCTCAGTCAGTATAGTGACTAGCTACGGGCTGGACGACCGGGGGTAAAGCCGGCCGGGACGTGATGCTGACCACTCACCCCCATCTAGTGCCGAGGTCAAGGAAGAGAGGAGCTATACCTCCACTCACCCCAAACGCCTACATGGCGTATTGTGGGACAAACTTACTCTAATATGTTGAGGGGTTTTTCATGTTTATATAGTACCATTCTGCTGCATTTTAAAGACTCTTTTTATTGGAAAGGGCAGAGTACCAGCCACTGCGTTTTTATGACGCTGCTTTACTTTTTCTAGAGCACAACGAGTTAACTGTTGAACCTTATTTAGATTTGTATTCTGCTTCTAGAAATTTCAGTTAGTTAACTGGCCAC